TGAGAACTTGACCTTCGTTCTGGTTACATCAACTTTCCACCTGCCCGAAATTTTGGTAGCAGATAATTTGAATGGCCTGCTGGCACGGCAGCCAAGTATTGTAAAATTGGATGCTATGATTTCTTGTGGTCGTTAGCAGATATGTAATGTGGCTTGTTGTGACAGCCATAATGAAAGAATTAACTTGTTAGAATGTTAATCAAAAGTGAGTAGTGAGATTTTTTTTAAAAAAATGTAACTCAATACTATAAGTTACTGTGTAGGTTGTTCGATGGCAGAAGAGACAATACCTATATATCTTCTTTATAGTAATAATCTGTCTAGAAAATGAGAGATAAAACAAATTAATTAATTAAGCTCATAAATATGAAGTTTGCTATTTATCTTCATCACCAGTGTTGCTATATCTTAAAATGTACTAAGTAAACGTGATCGGGTACTCTAAGTAAAAATGTTCAGGACCCCCGAAAGCTCACAAAAGGGATCTTATATCTAATCTTTATTATATTTTATATATAAAAAAAATCTCTAAAATTGCACCCTAACTCTAAAATTCTTAGGAGTGGTGATGATCACCAGTGTTGATTTTCTATAAAGATTATTAATTATTTTAATAGCATATAATTATTTATAAATATTTTAAAATAAATCATGAATATTTTTAATGTTAAATTGTAATTGTAGTTAGTAGAACATCTATTAATCCGAGTATTTAAAATAAACTGTTCTATATTTAAATATAAGTACAATATAAAATGAAACCAAATAATATGAAAATCAAAATTCATCTGATAAAAATTAATATATATATATATATTGTAACAAAAATAGCAGATGTTAGACATATAATACCAACATAACTGTTCAAGATATATACTGTATGAATGATATCAATAAAATTATAATTATGAATATACAATCTAATAGATACCATCGACTATTACAAAAATTATTAGTAATTGACACAACAAGGTGCCGGTGATGCCCCACTTTTGCTTATATCATTTATAATCTTTTTACTATAGACAAATTACTATATTCGAACACTACTATTAATCAAATTATTTAACTATAAACTAATATCAGATTTGCAAAAATTCAGTGCGCTATTGGTGCCCTGATTTTTTCTTGTACTTGATAAATTTCTTAATCAATTTCTAATCAAATATATAAACAAGTTAAAAATAATTTTAGAGTACCCTAGCCATGGAAGTTCGGGTCTCATGCTATAAAAATAATCAAACCGATCTACATTTTCAAAATCTAATTCTAGAATTTCAAGATTCTAGCGAAGATTTCTCTGTAACTACTTGATTATGGCAGTTTGCAAAAAGGTGTGACCTCTGCAGATCATGATGTCATGTAAAATCATGAAAAATCAGCCGATTCTAGTAGATTTTTCGATTCTTGGAGAATTTTAAAGATTTCAAATAAAATATAGATGTTATTGATTGAAAATTATGATCAATAGGGAATTAAAATCTCTGAAATTTTTCCGCTATCATCATCACGAAATCACAGGGTCACGCCTTTTTGCAAACCGCTATAATGTCAGTAAACTTTTTTTCATTTTAATTCTAAATTTTATAGAATTAAAATAAAAAAATTTATCGAAATTTGATAGATGGTTGTTGAGAAATCTTTGAATTTTACAAAAAAAGTCGGTAAATGATTTTTAATCTTTAAACGAAGATTTCTCAACAACCATTGATTCAAATTTGATGAAATTTTTTTTATTTTAATTCTGTAAGAATTATAGAATTAAAATAAAACAAAGAAATATTGAAATTGGGTACATTATGTAAACCGTGATTATTTATTATCAAAATCCTGTATTCTTGCTCGATTGTTAGGTAACGCCTACATTCTACTATCTTGCAATAAATTCCTTAGCTGTCGCGCCAATTTTACCATGGTAGATTCTCAATTTTAATTAGCTAACTGCCATGGTCTCAAAATTTTGGCTCGCATTAAACAATGATACGTAAATTTTTGATCGTCGCTTTTAGCCAATCAAACCGAGAATTCACTTTGACGCGACAGCTAGGATATTTCTTGCAATAACATGTTGAATTAAGCAATAATAATGATTTATCAGCCAAGAAAAAATTTTTTGGCATCGACTAGCAGATCAGCTAAGCCGCTCTAGTCGACTGCATCGACTACGGCTATAGCCTAACCGAACCCATCCTTATTAATGTAAATGGCAACCCACTGAATACGTATCATAAATGTTTGACCCGTTGCTTGTACGATATCATGAATGTTATACGGAGATCTAATATATATTATATAATATAGATATTTATATTGTGCAACTTGTCGTACATACGTACGTAAAAACAAAAAATTGATTTTACCATTTTTTAGGCGATCACTACTGTATTAAAAAGGACCATTTGCCCTACCCTTATAGGTTAGATTGGCATTGGTTTATCATAATAGCTGATTAATGACTTGTTTGGCTAGATAAATAATTCTATCTATATACAATCTGCGTCAGTGAGACAAATATACAATCTGATTGGCTACTGCTGTAACACATGATTCCTATTTTACACAAATTTGAACATAATGATAATACGTATCCATCGGAGTTTAAATATTTGATCTACAGTAAACGTATTATTTTTATAAATATGTTTCTAATTATATATATATTATATATTTCTAATTATTTCCTTTAATTTACATAATAATAACAATAACTAAAGAAATATGATCATGCAAAATTCAACCTGATCAACGGATTATTGAGTTTATTATAATTTGATTTCTTCTTTTCTTTTTAAGTTAGGCAAATTTTTTATGGTTTGAATCCGGTGCAACGCGACGGGATAGTTGCTATTATTTCTATGATGTTGATCAGACTAACCATTTAGCACTGCAAATAGTGCCCAGGGTCTTATTAAAAATCGTTTTTAAAATTGATTAGTACATGTATAGAACCGGGTACTAGACTTGGAGGATATTCTATGAAATGCAATAAATTAATTTAGTGATAGCTGAGTCATATTCAACATATTAGATATACATAACGGTGATATCAAGAATTGGGGTCTTTGCCTTGAAATGACCTTACAGTACATGATACCGTAAGGTCATTTTCAAGGCAAAGTCCCCAATTGATTTTATTTTTTAGTCGATATAATAATAAACTAAGTCGATTAGTTGATTAATATTTACAGTACTAGTCATTAAATCTGTGAAATACCAAGTGCAACATTTGAAATAATCATACGTTAATTATATCATATCTAAAAAAGTCAACTGATCAAAATCACACCATGTAATCGTACGGGCTTTTAAATTTAAGTTTCGCTTTTTTTTTTTTATAACGAATTGATGAATAGAGATGGGGCATGTGCATTCATGCGCATGATTCTCAAAGAAAAAAAAACTTTTTTATTCATGTGTATGATTCCGAAAAATGCACATTCTCCCATCATCAATTGTCACGTTATTATATTGTGATCAAATTTTATAATGTAGTTCTGGAAAGAAATTAAGGTTTAGTACATCCAGAATTGATAATAAAGAAGCTCGTTGAAAGAGCATTTTAATAATCAAAAATCAGGCATTTCTAGATGAAATCTTTCGTCATTGCAAAAAAAGTTTCATCAGACATCATTAATGGGCACATATGTTGACTACGTAGTAAATCACATACAGGTTGCGTGAGCCTACATAAGATTTTAATATAGTTTTATAATTAGAGTTGGCTTGCATAATACCTGATTAAATTGCCCTATTATAACTGACAACAACGCGGATCGATTTTATTATCACATGATTTTCCGAAGTCTATCAGGTGTTCAAACCAAACGTTTGTTTTACAAAAGTCGCATTTATCTTAAAATTTAGTCTAGTAAAGCATCTTTAGATACTAAAAAAAAAATTCCGAGTGGAATTTACTACACCTTTTGTTTCCGAGTATCACGTGATAGTGAAATCGGTTCTATGCCTGTCAAAATTGTCCGAACTACGTATAAATCATGCAGGAAATCTACATACTACAATTACATCAATTAACAGGTTGTAGAATTTGATCTTTATTTAAACCCCTAAATTTACAAAATCCAATTTTATGAATCCGTTGCTTAAAAAGTATTAGTATCAGAACTAAAAATGAGTAATAATAAGAATACTATGAGAAGCCCCTTTCTCTTGGCATTCCTGATATTCTCGACATTCTTTGATATTATTCATTTTTAGACTCGATACTAATACCATTTAGTATTAAGTAAAAGACTCATCAATTGAATCTTGTATAATTAAGGGATTCAATTAAAGGTCAACCATAATGAAGTAGTCACTTATTTAATTGAATAATTTTAAATCTAACTTGATTATACGTTACACATTACAAATTATTATGATTTCTATATATTTAATGTAATGACATAATCAAGTCGCACAATAAAGCCGGGTATTTCTTAAATTATCGACTACAATAAGATATTTGCATACACACTTTATTGATAATAATAATTTAGGAAACATTTGATTTTCAAAGTTTAAAATTTGCTTTTATAAGGTATAATTGTGTTTTAGATTTCTTTACCGTATACATGTTTTGTAGCCGCGAAGATCAAGGTTATTAAAAACGGTAATGTTATTTACTTTTCTGATATACGTACGTACGTACGTATGTCGTACATACGTACGGTGCAGGAAATTTAAAAACTTCAATATTTCTATATATAACCCGGTGGTAAATTGAAATAAATTTCTTTAAATATCCACCTTAATAAAGGGAAGAAGAAGAAGGATTAAGGGATTTTCAATCTCTTTACATAACAAGCACAATGTACTTAGTAGCAACTATTCTATCTATACTTCTGCGTACATAAACTTATACATAAACTTAAATATGCCGTTCCTGAATTTAGATTATTAAATGTGTTGATTCCTATATAAGGTAGCTAACTTGATTTCTGCAACATACAGTATAAATTCCAGATTCAATTGTTTTCGTACTTACGCATGTACTACATATTATGATCATACTTTCAACTGACTGCTTATATCAAATTTTTAAGCATTTTAAAGATGACTTAAAAACATTACATTCATGTCTTTTATCCAACCGCACCTGTTGTGAGCTTATTATTCCGATTTTATGGGCTGATCCCTGGAAACTAATACTGAAAAAAAAACCTACGTCCGAATGTAAATTCTCTTTTATATCTCTCCTCTCAACGTTATTATCATGTTTGCCATTTGAATCAAAACGACTTTTGCATGAAAATAATGTATACCCGACATCTCAAGCTACCTTTTTCAACTATGCTATTTACTGCCGTTCCTTGAATTTTGATGGTATTTGGGATATGTTATCTGCGCAGCATCGACCATTTGGTATTCTTAACATAGATATTAAGACTTTGGTGGGCCAAGAAATTTGCAAGATGATAATCATTCGAAGCACAAAGATAACTCAGATACTTATTTCTAAAGTTTCTTATTCATTTTTTGATTTATTCCAAAATTTATTATTAAACAATACTTCAAGTCTTTCACACCTTATTGAATTTGAATATCATGTTACTACAGATTCAAATATTCCTACTTTTTATAATCTGTTTAAAGTTTGCAAAAATATTTCCACTCTTACCATCAACTTAAAAACTACCCCGAGCAAAAGCTTTATTGAGTTAATTCGATCACAAAGTGCTATCAAGTTTATGAATATCACTTTTAAATATGATCCCCCTAACAAGTTTATTAATTCCTTATTATTACATGCTAATATTTTAACACACCTTTATATTTCTTGCTTTCATGAAGACATCTTTCCTAAAATTTTCTTTAAATGCCCCACTTTTTCAAACCTAAAATTCTTGAAATGTCATAATAGTTACACAGAGCCAATATATCCTAAATATCAACACTTAAAAAACATGAAAAGTGTAAATATAAGTTTGCCAAATCTTGAATCTTTGGAATTTGACTGCGAAACACTATTTTTATACCAAGTAATGGCTCAAATAATTAAAGGAACGCGTGGAAAACTTGAAAGGATATACATAAGTTATCCAATTTATTATGTAAATCCGAGCATAATCAATCAAAGTATTCTTAATTCATGTTCAAATCTTAAAGTTCTTACTACCTTCGTTACTAAAGATACACTTGAAATTATTTTAGCAATATTAACTTCTTGTCAGAATTTAGAAGGTATTGCATTGTATTCATATTCTGATGGAATTAATTCTATCTTAAATCACCTATCCCTACACCCTTTAAGAAATTTAAATAATATAAAGTTTGATAATACTGACTCATGTTGGAATTTTTCACTAAAAAATATGGAATTATTTTTAAAGAGTCTAGAAAAGGAAGATTTTGTAAATAAACTCAATATTTCATTAATTTATAAGCAAATTAATGTAAATCCAAATAAGATTATGGATCTATTTGAGACATATTACTCAAGGGGGATAATTGCTTCATATTTTGTTGAAAGTAAAACCAATATTATTTATGAATTTGATGATTGGCAAAGATTACAAATTTAATCTTTATTTTGAACATTTCTACAATTATTTTTGAAAAATAAAATTTGATTATTAAATATTTTGAAAAAGTTTTTTCTGTTTAGACTGAATTAAAAATAATTTATTTCAACTTTGCTATTTATTATTAAAATTGGTTAAAGTATATGGGTTCTTATTTAATAACTTTTAAGTTGTCAAAGCGCGAAAGACCTTATGAAATTTTAAAAAAATGAGTTGGAAACTACCTAACAGCTAAATTAATCAAATATGGTAATATCACCTTTTGAATTGACGCCAGTACCACAGCAAATTCAGTACGTCAAATATCAAATAACACATCAAAGGAGGATTTCTCAGTAACTACGATTGCGAAACTTGAAGGCTTCGCGCTGATGAATGCGAAAATTAGTTTCGTCAATTGATGAGAGATGATAAATTCGAATTCAAAATTCAAAATTAACTAATTATAATAATTTCAATAAATTGATTAACATGAGAAGTACGTACGTATTACAATCCGCTGTTAACTTCAACCTATCTCTCAAAGACTGGGGTCAACGGACAACTAATACAGGAAGTCACATGTGCGCAGTAATATGGGCTATGCTGTGGTGGGTTATAAATGAGAGGATTGTATGGTAATTTGGGCTATGCACTCAAAAGTGGGCTTGTGTATTATATTGTATTTAAATATTCTTACAAGAAAATACAAAGATTTTTTATACATAGTGCAATTGTGTCAGAACAAACACATATGTCTTTATTCTACTTATGACTTGTCAGTTACGATACATATGAATTAATCTTCTATTATTTCTTATTACAGAAATAACTCTAGCGATAGAGGAGATGATAAAAAAAGATAGACCCGTGATAAGTTTAATCACGTGAATATGCGATCGGTTACAGCGCATATTGTGTTGTAACAAAGAAAGCGACTCTTCTACCAAAATGATGCAAATTTAGCTCAGCATAATCCTGATTGCAGTAGTACGTACGTAAGAGGCTGAGTTGATTGTAGTTTTTCTCTGCAAGGCGTACAGTGGTGATTCCTATATTGAGATTGTGTAAGTGTGCCATGAACTTCTATATGGTCTACTGTATTTGGAATTTTATGGCTGAAGCTCTATGCAATATAAGTTGACCATACACTTAATTCGTGAAAATTTATTTATATGGTGTATTTGCTTTATTTAATTTTATCGAAGCAGATGATTTGTGAACTTTATTGGAACCCAAATTTTGGGTCTCAAACCCATACAATAATGATGTTACCCAAATCCGGTAATTTGGAACATCCATAACTTAAACTATTATTGGGATTAGTCGAAACATTCGGCTGAGTACTAAATTAAACATTGTGTAACAATAACATTCGCATTTACAAGATAAACGATATTTTCTTGAGCGATAATTTTTAAATATTCATTACAAAATTCGGTATTTTGGCCATTAATTATTTTTTTTAAGTCTTTTAATATAATTTATATTATAACAAGAGAGTTTTCTTTTTATCAAATACTTGAATCAGTGTGAAAACTCGCATATCAAGATCACTGAACCTATCGTTATACTTACACTCAAAAGGTAATATTGTCTGTCGCAGATGATGGTGTTATCGAATGATCGTGAAATCTGGGGACCTAAAACCCACTTATACTCTTTTATTATAAACTCTAATCCTAAATCCTAGTTCAAATCTAAAAAAAAATATAAAAAAACATACCCTAAAAATTTTTAAAAATCGTATATTAATTAGGGTTTGATTTCACGATCATCTGTGACATTATTTATTGATCACCTTTTTCATTTCTTAGATAACTATGCATTTCTATTACTTCTCTTCCTGGACATCCTTTTTAATTCTTTCCACTAGTATTGCGTAGGCAACACAGCACAAAATAGTCAGGGAACCACTTGGAGTAGGAACAAATAAACTAAAATAGAACCATGGTTCTTTATCATTCAACTCAGAGGGAGATAATGATTTATCCATCTTTTTCCCCGCTTCCTGCGCTGCATACTTTCCTGTCTTTCTTTCACTTAATTTCTTATTAATTAGAGTTTTACCAATAAACTTAATTGAATGTTTATATGTATTCATTTGATTTTATTAGTGAATCCAAAATGAGCTATTTAAACCCGTGAATATCTTTTATTGCATCTATCTTAACTAATTTTATTTTACCTCTTAATTTAAACAAGTACAAAGGGTTAACAGTATATTTAAAATCAAGCTTATGTGCACTATCTGATATATTCTCTAGTGAGGTTCAAAATATAATCAAGACTGTGATTGCTTTATTAATCAATGTATTTAAACCAAGTTCATGAATCCATATCTTTACTAAGTTTTACTTTTACTAATTTAATGGTAATATAAAAATTATCTTTAATTAGCAGCATACAGTATATAAAATAAGATAACCATGGTTTGTAAATACTTATCATATACTAATTTTACCAATTATTTACTAGTTATTTGTATTTAAAATGCACTTTCAGGTTTGTGAACATTTATAATTATTAGAGATATGTCACATGCATTATGTAGATAATGTTGCATGCTATATAATGCCCTAAACTTTAAAAATGCATATAGAAGCTATTATATAATTTTGTCTATGTTATTTCATTAATAATTACACAAATCAAATGAAACTATACCAGTTAATGATCGGGTTCCCAATTGGTCTCCAAAGGTAACATGATATGAATATAGATATTTACTGGGTTGTACTTTCTAAAAGTCTCCGATTTGTCTCTGATTACAAACAGATCTTTGGTGCAGATATGAAACTTTTTAGAAAGCTTTAGGAGACATATTATAGTCAAATTTATTATTCTAATTTGTATTCAAATAAACCAATAGGTATCCTATTTTTTCAAATATTACAGAAAAATCAGTTACCTATTGGTTTTTCATCATACATAATTAAGAAAATAATCGGAAGCAATTAAGTATTCAATTGTTATTAATTAATAATCACAAAATTATTATGTAAGACATATATAATATAATTTACTTTTTTTTTTTATTATAAAAAATAAATAGCAATAGTATTATATTTTAGATATAACTACTGTAATAAAAAATATTTCATTATGCTATAATAGCAGAACTACAATTAACCTTAACTCTACTAAATCAATACCCCAAATACCTAACTAAACTCTATTAATGGAATCATTAAACTATACAACACTATTAGCACTTGAAAAACTATGTAACAAAAGACTACACTAGCAATACTTCAATAAAAATAAGGCTAACGAATCAGAATGAATAAACCAATAATGAAACTACAAAGAAAAGCACTTTAAACATGAAATGTTAGTACTCAAAAAAAAAAAACTAAGTTGAAAAACCTCTGTATACTTTTCTAAAAGACAATATAACAAAATCCATTAACAAAAGATTATATTGAAAATAAAAATAACAATGACAAACTAGAATAAGTGATACTAATAATGAAACTATGAAGAAAGCATTATAAAAACTGAAAATATTAGTACTCAAAATGAAAAACAAGATCAAAAAACACACTTTTAAAACAACAATATGACAAAAGCTATTAATAAAAGAGTATACTGGCAGTAAAAAATAACATAATACAATGAACTAGAATAAGTGACACCAATAACAAAACCATGATAAAAAGCACTATAAAAACTGAAAATGTTAGTACTCAAAATGAAAACAAGATTAAAAAAACATGCATATTTTCAGAAAAATGATGTGACAAAAGCTGTTAACAAAAAATTATACTGGCGGTAAAAACAACACCAGTGAACTAGAATGAGCAATACCAATGATAAAACTATGAAGAAAAGCACTATAAAAACTAAAAACATTAGTACTTAATGAAAAACAAAATCAAAAAACACACACAAAAGCTGTTAATAAAAATTATACTAGCAATAAAAAACAACACCAACAAACTAGAATAAGTGACACCAATGATGAAATTTCGAAGAAAAGTACTATAAAAACCAAAAATATTAGTACTTAAATAAAAAACAAAACCAAAAAAAACACACACTTCTAGAAAAGTATTATGACAAAAGCCATTAACAAAAGATTATACCAGCAGTAAAAAACAACACAACTAGAATGAGCAATACCAATAACAAAGCCATGAAAAAAAGTACTATAAAAACTAAAAATATTAGTACTCAAAATGAAAAAGATCAAAAAAACAACACTTTAGAAAGACTACATGGCTACATAAAAAGCCAATAGAAACACAATACAAATAAAAAAGAAAATTTACCAAAAGGATAAGAAAAGTACTGTAAAAAAAAAAGTGTTCAAAAGCACTATTAAAGATTTGCTAATTTTTATTTATATTTGCCAAGCCAGTTTGAATCTTTAAATTCTTATTCAGTTTTATATATTTTTTTAGAAGTTCTTATTATAAGTTTGCATTTCTCAAAGCTATACAAATACTTACAGAATCTTCTAATATACAAAATATATTGGTATAACAAAGTTACAAACTCTAGAATCTAACTTATTGATAAAGATTTTTTATTATAATACAAATAATTTTGTTTAAATTATTGCTAGTAAAATTAGAACTCGGTACCTTAGGTGCAAGCTTGCTTGGAAGTATAGTAACTTAACTATTATACTATATTGTTACACTTTTAAAGATAGGGTATCCATAGATCATTTCTTTATATAATTTATATATATAACAAAATTTTATATAGACAACAAGAATTTGTTTCAAATAAAATGTTTTAGAAACATAACAAAACTTTATTAAAATTTTTGTGTATATACTTTAAAGTCTCTTATTTATATAGTAAAATTTTATATCTTGTATTATTTAAAAATATTTATATTTATATATAGATAAAAAAAGTTAGATGATCTAAAATTTTGAAGAAATGCTAGTTCTAATTAGTTAAATCTGGGGTGTTTACAATTCTGATTGGTTGATCACATGATTTCATATGATTTACCACATGATTACTATAAAAATTGATCTGCGAGCACTCTACCTTTAATATAACTTTATTTGTCAAATATTATATTTAATAAATCAATATTAAAACTAATTTATATTTTTAATAGTTAAAATAACCTTTTTGATTATAAGGACTTTTTATTAAGTGAAAATAAGAGAACTGTCACTTATTATATAATTATAGCAACACAAAAGTAGGGTACAAAATAACTCTTCCTGCAAATCTCTAATACAAAATTTATTTAAATTTGTCTAACAAAAAATGTCCGTTTATACAATATTTTGCTATGCTAACCTAACTTGATTTTCTAAGTAAACTTGTCTGGCACACAAAAATATACATAATACCCAAATTTCAAGTTTTTAGCTATTATATTCGTAGAGTAAAGTCCTAAAACCTTTTTTTAAGCAAAAAATTTAAACTTTTGATATTTACTCTTTAATCTGATTCTAAACCTCTGTACTAAGTCTAGTAAAAGTTATTCTACGCACTTTTCTCATCATAACAAGCTATATTTTATCTCTGTAGCTTTAAAATTAATAAAGCTAGTCTTTAAGGAAAAAATTTATACTTTTGCTATTTACTCTTTAATCTGATTCTAAACCTCTGCACTTCATTAATTAAAGTTGTTCTACACACCTTTCTGATCATAACAAGCTGTATTTCATCTCTGTAGCATCAAAATTGACGAAGTTACTCTTTAAACTATTTTAACTCTCTTTATTTACTCTTTACAACTTTCTTTGTCTTTTTTTTTTGCACTTTTCACTATACATGATTCTTGTATAACATCCAATCACTTTCAAATTTATCCAAATTAACTTTTTTTTTTAAAAAGTTAAAGGTGAGGTCTTGCTCATATCTTTATTAAGTAATTTATATAAGAGACTACATAGTAAACTATATACAACTTAATTTGTACTAATACAAATACATATAAATTACATGCAAGAGTAAGAGCTCAGACTAATAAAAATTTATCTGTGATCTAAACCTACTAGAGTGGTCAAGATTCACCTAGCTTTTCAAGGTTAGTATAGAGTTAATGGGTTTACTGGAAGAAATCCATGTAGAGCTCCAGCTATTAAACTTTTTTGTAGCTAACCCAACTGGTAGGCATGTATCATTTTCTTTATGAACTTGGTCTGGTTGTCCGCACAGGCAGCTATAAGTATATGTTTTTCTGTTTCGTTTCAAGGTTGGTTGCCTTCTATTAGAAAGGAGTTTGCTTGAAGATCTTGTAGATACTTTGTTCTGTTTTTTCCATAAGGCTAGCTTGGCAGCATAAGGCTTCCATATTTGCTCATAAATGCTATCAGTTATGTATAGTAGGATTTTTATTACTATTTGGGATGCTTCTTTATACGATACCTCCTCAGATTGAAGAGCTTATATTAGTGGAACTGGAATAAGGCTCTGTAAAATCGTAATGAGGTAAAAGTTGTTGGTAGATTGAGATGAATTAAATGTAGGATGTGAGTAGAACATGTTGGTCAGAGTATTATATATAGAAGTTGATTGTATAGGAAGTGTTTTACGAAGTACTTTGGGTATAGATGAAAGTATTATATGGTTAAGAATATTAGGTTGTAGGCATGTAAGCCAATGTGTGGGTGTAACAGGGTTGTTACAGTTGAAACAATCAGGGGAGTTAAAGTGTTTGTATGAAGTTGTATGAAAGTGATAGTAGGTAGGAAGACATTTTTATTTTAAATACTTTTGCATGATTGAGTTTGAGACTAATATAGCTATGTGAGGCTTTTTGGTTGTTATTGAGATAAAGCCAAGTGGCTTGCCAGTCGATTTTGTCTATAAAGTTTGCCTATTCCATGTTTTGTTTTTGTGAAGACCACATGGCTATAATTTGTGCTCAACATATATTTTTAATAAAATGTCTACTATAGCATTCGATTAAGTGCTTCTTCCATATAAGAATAGGATGTGAGTTGTAGATATTGTTGTAAGCTAAAAGAAGAGTGTATGTTGGGGAACACTGCTTATCAAGTGAGTTTGCCAGGTTGTTATTAGAGTGTGCTGTAACTTTGTGTAGCTAAAGTTGTATTTTGTAAAATTTAATAAAGCCAAGGATTGTTTGCCATATAGGCCAGTAGTTGCATTTGGTATACT